AACCTTGGTAAATTTTGAGAAAAATTGGTATGGTTAGTTGTTAGTGGGATTTTGAGTTTGTATTAAAATAATATTTAAAATAAAATGATTAAAATTGATTTGATGTAAAAGTAGAAAATTGATGATTGAAAGTGATAGGTAGTTAAAATTATGTAAGTGGATAAATAGTTAATTAAAGTTGATGTGATGTGTAAGAATGATTTATTGATATTATTTAATCATATTGATAATATTGAGGATAGTAGGTTAACTTAAAATTGTGATAAATTTTGAGTTGAGATTTGATTTTTTTTTCTGGGTATATTCGTAAACAGACACACTCTAAATAATTGCATAGAGTTTCAATGTCAAATTTATAAAATATTTTATAAAACGGTAAGTCTTCTGTCAGACTGGCATACTTTCTTCACAAATATGCGTAACATTGAACAGTATGACATTTAATAATAAGTATGTATTTTTTTTTGCAATTCGCCTAACGATCAATTGCCTCACAAGAATTTGTTTTTACGAAACTTTCACTTTAACTTTTCAGATGTTTGACTTTGACATGATTATCGTTTTCCGACAGTACTATAATCTTGTTTCGACCACGACCAACCTATCTGAAGGTTGTGAATCTTTGAAGGAGACGAGGATAAGGAAGAAGCAGTTTTCGTGTGCTGATATCCCAAGCATCACTCTCTGCAACTTTCTGAAAATGGCAAAACAAGGTTTCTGGTGATGCACTTTTGCCGTGTTTATGGCAAATGTACTATAAAAACCGAGCTTCGTTTTTTTCCTTTTTCATGGTAAGTTTATTTGCATATATGAAGCTAGTAATGACCAAGTGCCGATAACCCTTTGTTACTAGTGCCCCTCTTTCCGAAAGCTATGATGGGTTTGTCGTGTCGAAATGTGTTAGTTTCGTCACGATCAAATTTTTATGGAGCTTTAGGTAGTTTTGGTGAATTGTTATCAGTAGACATATTTGTGGAATTTGTTGGAGTAGCTGTGTTTTCAAGACTTTGGTACTGTGTTTATGTTAGCTATGTTAGATTCTAGTTTTTTATTCCAACTCTCTTTTATTCCACTTTTTAGTTTTTATTTCAAGGTTCAAATGAATGATGCTGGTGGATTTTTTTTTTAGTTTTTTATTATTTGAAAAAAGCTTGTCGAAATTGTGGACCACACAATTTGGTCATTTTTCCAATGTAGCATTTTGGAAAATAGTGAATGAATTACAAATTATTTTGTGAGGAGTAAGTTATTTCAGTGGCCTCAATTATTTTACTATTTATGGNTAGCGGACTATGGCCGTTTAAAATGTTTTTCGTATTCCACTCATGTCTATGAAATAAGTTGTCTCTTCGCTCAATTCAACACAAACAATAAGCAATTTAATTAAAAATAAGTAATTTAATATTGACTTGAACACAAAAAATTATCCATTTCGTTATATAATCACCTTTGATTAAATATTATTTCCCATTGAAAAGTATAAAAAATTATCCATTTCATTATATAATCACCCTTGGTTAAAATGACAAAGTGGACCTAATTCAAAACTAAATATATGCACTTATTTTTTTTAAGTATTTAATTTATGTTTCTTAATTTTAATCGACTCATACATGTTAACTTCTATTATTATAATTTATGTTTCTTAATTTTAATCGACTCATACATGTTAACTTCTATTATTATTTGTATAATAGTAATAATTGTTTTATTTTTTCAAAAATGATAAAGTTTGTATAACACTAGAAACAACAAAAATATATATTGGCATGCGACTAAAACATACCACACTTTTTTTCCTGGAAAATTTTAAAATTAAATTTATTAAACCTATAAATAATATTCGTGATAGTTGGCGGGATAAGGTATTTATCAAATTAATGACACTCCTCCAAATTTCTTTTCATAATAATGTCCCTGTTATATGATTATTATCTATGATGGTGATGATCACATTTCATCTATTATTAATATTATATTTAGGGAAGTATTTTAAAATATAATAAAAAAAAACTTTAGTTTATATTTTATTATCTCTATAGAAGTTTTTTTAATAATATCTTTTTTTCCATTTCCTTTAAACTATATTTCACCTTTTAACCGCACCCTCACAATTGGACCGCAATGTGAGACATGTTTTGTAGCCCATTTTCAAAAGTTTTATGAAGCCCAAGCCCAATCTAATCTTCCCAGTTGATCTTTGATTGGCTCCAAAAGTTCATTTAACAGTACGCACGAACTCTCAATCCCAAGTGCTGGACTCTGACTCTGAATCCCATTTGTTTGCCTTTATTCAGCTCACCGCCATGGCCAAGAAGCTCGTCAAATACTGCGTGGTAAGTTCATCTCCTATGTTTTTCTGCTCATCCACACTCACATACACACGCACGAGCTCACAAAGTGTCACGCGTTTGACGAATTCTGAGCAGGTCGATGCATTTACCGACGCGGCGTTCAAGGGTAACCCGGCGGCGGTGTGCCTTCTGGAGGAGGAGAGAGATGAGACGTGGCTGCAGGCGGTGGCGCGTGAGTTCAATTTATCGGAGACTTGCTATTTGACCCGGCTGCCGGAGCCGGACGGGTCGGCGATCGGCTCGGTCACCAGGTTTGGTCTCCGCTGGTTCACGCCTGTTACTGAGGTCCACATTTTTTTTTTTTTTTTTNCTGATTCCTGTTTTATTTATTGCTCAGATAATTGTTTCAATTTGGGAATGAAAATGCTTGATGATTTATGTGAATGCATAAATAATGATTTGAGATGCTGAAGTTTTCAATAATTTGATTAGATGCTATTAAAGCTGTTATTTGAATCAAGGTGTTTGCGAACACAGATCGGTTATGCCTGTCGAAGCTCGAGTTTGGCTCGTTCGTTTACTTAAACGAGCCGAGCTCGAGCTCGAGCGAAGCTTGTTTGCAAACAACTCAGTTTTATTTTATTTTTTATGGGTTTTAAAATGATACAACTGAGTCGAACTTGTTCATGAACAACTCATAAGGTTTTAGGTTCATTTGAAGAGCTGAGCCGAGCTTTCACAAGCTTAGACGGGCCAAAGCTTGAGCCGATCTTTTGGGTCGTTTGTTAAAAGAGTTCAAGTTTCAATATGAGCTACTCGACTCGAATAACACTCCTAGATAAAATAGAGGAAAGGAAGAGAGAAACAGTTTTAATTTTTTATGTGGAGATATAATATAAGTTAGGATAGGGAGTGCAATTTATGATGCTTATTGTTTAGTTTCTTTCTTTTGGTTTCAACTTCAGATCAGCTTATCACCGATTTCTATTTTTACTTGTAAAAACTGAGTAGTATCCGACTTTATTTGATCAATCGAATGTTTGGTTGGGTTGATTGTTGCTACTTGATATGGGTGTTTTTCCTTTTTTCGTAACAAACTTAAACGCAAATTCACATTCAGCTTAATTCCAGGTGGAACTTTGTGGACACGCAACTTTAGCTGCATCCCACTTTCTTTTCACGTACGGATTCGTGAAATCGAACGCGATCGAGTTCTCAACCCTCTCGGGGATTTTGACGGCTAAAAGGGTACCCGATACCAGAAAGGCCTCGGACTCTGTGAATGGAAACTCACCCGATCTTAGCTTTCTTATCGAACTTGATTTTCCCGCGTTATCCATAACAGAATACAGTGGTCCTGGGGATGTTTTATCTGTTTCTAAAAGCTTGAGTGGTGCCCCCGTTAAAGAAATCAAGAATACAACTGGAGATGACATTCTTGTGCGTATGCTAGTAATTTATTATTATTATTATTATTATTATTATTATTATTATTATTATTATTATAATTGTTGCTATGCTTGACAATTGCTACTTCATGTTCTGCTCGGAAACTTGCATTTAGGGGCGCCAAGAATTGCTAATAGCGTGTTTCGAAAAAATTACGTTTGATTCAATCTTAACCAGCAGTTATCTTATGGAATCACTGTTATGCTATCTATGGTTGTGTTTGATAAGCATGTAAGCTAGCTTATAAGTTTCCTGTATTCAAATAAGCTTGGTTTGGTAGGACGAGCTTTTTTAAAAAACTCGAGTTTATCTCATAAACTTCCTTTGGGTCGCTTTTCAAATAAGCCCATTGAAATTTTTATTTCAGCTAGCTTATCAACTAGTTTTACCAAACACTTTTATCATAGAAGCTAGCTTCTGAGCCATAAGTCATACGCTGTCAGCTATCAGCTCGAAATTCACTTAAAAACTATAAACTAGCTTATCAACTAGGTTTATCAAACATAGTCAAACCTAGTCTATATTTGTTTCTATTTTGGTAAAGATAGCCTCAATCGGGAGATATTCGTTTTGCTAATAGTGAATATGTATATGCAATTTGCTGAAAAAATCGGTAAGTTTGTTGCCCGGGTATGAGTTGGGCAGGTCGTGCTAGCATCTGGGGAGGCTGTTATAGAAGCACAACCCGTTTTGGAAGAGATAAAAAAGTATGCCGGGAGAGGAATGATCATTACTGGACTTGCTCCAACTGGCTCGGGATTTGATTTTTTCAGTCGCTTTTTCTGCCCAAATTTCGGGATAAATGAAGTAATAAAACGTTGGACTTCAATTATTAGCAAACAAAAGACAAAAAAGAAAAAAATGAAAATTTTCGTTGATCGACTATTTTTCCTTTTATTCAGGATCCTGTATGCGGAAGTGCTCACTGTGCATTAGCAGCTTACTGGAGCAAGAGGCTCGGAAAATGTGATTTAATCGCATATCAAGTAACAAAAATCTGTTTTGATGTAAAATTGTCTCGTGCAATTATTTACGAACGTGCTAATTTTGTGTTCGTTTTGAATCAGGCATCGCCAAGGAGTGGCGTGCTAAATATACATTTTGACCATAAGAAACAGAGAGTGTTGCTTCGTGGGAAAGCCGTGGCTGTAATGGAAGGTACTATTTTGGTATGAATTATGGAATAAATTTTCAACTTTTTATTATGTTTGCGTGACATTTGAATTATAACGCAATTTATTGCCATGTAAACCAATACTCTATTTCCCATGCTTAACAAGTACTGATTACAGTATGAATACCATTGCGTAAAATATTTGTTTCAGTAGACAATAATGCAAGTTCCATTGAAGTACATTATCGTTTTTTTGTTGGCCTAACACGTCTTGGAAAAAGGTCGTGTGAGAAAGAAAAGACGGGCAAAAATATCTCCCAAAAGGGTAAGAAAGGAAGAATGGAAAAGTACCTTAATCATCTTATAATATGACTTGTAGAGAATGTGAAGATGTTTTTCCAGAATTTCCAAACAACTTTCCTTATATATCAAAATTTCCCAATTTTTTTGGCTTTCCCGTGAGATCCATTGTGAAAAAATGCTACTTTGATATATAAGTTTTTGACATAAAAAGTTGGCAAAAAGTGACAAGGACGTTGATTTTAAAGATGCATTATAATTTTAGTTATGGTGCATATGATTCATAAAGATATAGCTAATGAAGTAATGTAGCTTGGTAAAATACGTGCACTATCAGTTATGGTTTGAATTATCATCGTCAGACTGCTGGGATTGATATATTCTGTTCTATTTTGTATTGATATGTTTATAGAATAATATCATATTTGTATACATATCTTCTATCAAACAGAATATAGTACAAAATGAGAAACCATATGTTTATAGAATAATATCATATTTGTATACATATCTTCTATCAAACAGAATATAGTACAAAATGAGAAACCAAAGTAGAACAAGAAATCATATCTTCTTCTATTAGACCGATCAAATAATATCATCAAATGGAATGAAATACGAAATGAGACCTAAAGTAGAACAGGAAATTTTATCTTCTGTTAGGCAAACCTAACAACAACCAAAGATAGACCTAACGAAATAGAATACCAAAGCGAAATAGGATATCCTATATCTTGTTAGATACCTAACATCATCCGAAGACCTAACGAAATATAACACCAAAATGAAACAAAAGTTTCTATTCTCTGCTAGGCAGGCCTAACAACATTCAAACGTAGACCTACTAGATCCGAGTCATATTTTTTCAACAGATATATATTTTGAAGAAATGTTAATCTAAAAAATAATATAAATAAATGTACAAAGTTTCATAGCAAAATTACACAATAATTTGTGTCATTGCACGGGTTGGCCGGTCGGCCCATCATTATTTGTAATCTCACTCAAGTAGAAGAAATATCAATGAGCCCAAATTCTAATTGGCCAATAAAAGGCCCATACAACATTACCGTCTACAGATCTTCAAAATATTCAGCACCTGGCACTTTCTTGCTAAAACCCCGCTTTTCAGAAAGTCCTCTTTTACTCTTGCTCGTTCAAATATCAAAACCCTAATCACCCGTTGCATTTCAATCGCGACAATGAAGCTCGTCAGGTTTCTTTGCTTGTTCAACATCTTCGTGCTTTCTGATTTGATTTTTTTTTCACTGTGGAAGTAAGTTTCAGTGTAGTTTTTGTTTTTTCTTTTAATTTATGCAGATTTCTGATGAAATTGAACAACGAGACTGTATCGATTGAGCTCAAAAACGGCACCGTAGTGCACGGAACCATTACTGGTTCGTCTATTTCTTCTGTTGTGTGTGGTGGTTATTTTATTATTATTTTTTTGGTTATTGCATTGTGACGTTGCAGTGATTCTATGACATGTTAGGGATTTTGTGCATATTTTTATTTGAGGTGAATACGAACAATTTGCATTGCAATGTCACGTTGATTCTATGACATATTAGGGATTTTATGCATTTTGAATTTGAGGTGAAATCGAACAATTTGGATTGTGATGTAACAGTGATTTATGACATTTTAGGGATTTAATGCATTTTTAATTCGAGGTGAATTCGAACAATTTGCAGAGTGAGTTATGACATGTAAGGGATTCTATGCATTTCCTATTGTAGGTGAATTTCGAACAATTTGCATTGGTATTGAAGTTCCGTAATAAATCTTGGGAATTTCTAGGTATCACTTACAGTAACATGGATACATTGACTGGGGAGGATAACTAATAAAGAAAAAAAAATACAGATAAGTTTCATGATATAATTTTTGGAGACTACCAAAAACTATTCTGGCATCTGTTAGATGAATATTGGTGTCAATTGTAATTAGTTTGTAATTAAATCTAGTGTCATGATCTCATGCGAAAACCTTTTAATTTCCCGGCACCAGTGCACACCTTCAGATTTGATCATACGGCTGCCCGTTCTTGAGTGAGTTATTTCGAACTTCACATTGTGGAACTCTTAATTTTTAATAATCCAAATGCATTATCGTTTCACTAAAAACTATTCATTTATCGATTATTTTTATGAAGATTGAGGAGGTCTTAAGCCCCAACTCCATTGTTTTTCCCCCATTGATGAGGTCAACTGGCATTATTAGATAAAAAATTATTACACAGAAAAGATATCTTCCAAGAGATTTCAATGCTGCCATCTGAAACTGCAATTTTTGGCCATTTTCTTTCCTTTTTTTTTTAATAGGTGTTGATATCAGCATGAATACGCATCTGAAGACTGTAAAACTTACTCTTAAGGGCAAAAATCCAATGACTATGGATCACCTTAGTGTGAGGGGTAATAACATCCGGTATTACATACTTCCCGACAGCTTGAATCTAGAGACGTTGCTAGTTGAGGAAACACCTAAAGTCAAGCCCAAGAAGCCTACTGCAGGTATAATACTATTTTTCCTTTAGGCTTTGTTTACAATTGTGGCAAAATTTCATTGTTAGTTTTGCTAGTTTAACGTCATAGCAATTTAGTCCGAAGGTTCTAACATTTCGCCTTTTGGTCCTGTGATATAATATTTTGCTGCAATTTCGGTTATTTGAGGACTAAAATTGCAACAAATTCCCAAATTTCCAGATTTTCAATTAGCATTTTAAGTCTTGTAATTTAAAATTCTGTTGCAATTTCAATCCTGTAATTTAATGTTTTATTGCAATTTAAATTGCAACAAAATATTAAATCACAGGACCAAAAGGCGAAAAGTTGGAACCTTGGGACTGACTTGAAACTGCTATGACGTTAAACCAATAGGACTAGAAATGAATTTTTGCCTACAATTGTAAAAAGCTACAAACAAACAGGCGCAAAACTGAAAGCTCAAACAAAACAATAAGGGCGTATATATAGATAACCTTGTAATGCTAACTTCATCCTTATCTTTTTCTAATTCAGGGAGACCCGTTGGGCGTGGTAGAGGTCGTGGCCGGGCTCGTGGACGTGGTAGAGGACGCTAAATATAGTGGTAAAGAATGCTAAGTATTTCATGCTCGTTTTTTATTTTGTAGTACTTTGTTGTCTAAATATCTACATTGAAGGATTTTTGTACCAAAAAACTGTCTGAAATGTTTACAGCTCAGGTTCAGGTACAGATCAGTGCAATTTTTATGGCTCACACTCACAAACTCCATTCTCTTACATTTAAATTTGAGGTACACACACATTGTATGATGTGCCATTTCTCTATGATGTTATGTTATGGTTATCCTTGTAGCCATGGTTATATAGATTTTGGCCTCTGGAACTCTTACTCGGGTTTAGTCCGTTTAGAATTAGGTTAATTACAATATTTGATCTGATATCATTGTGGGTGGAAATTGAGATTTAACTTTTGACGTTATTACTTTCAGCTTTAATCATTATATTTTATTTAATATCACAAACAAGTTGTTTCTCATGGTCGGATGCCATTTGTTCGTGAGGTTTTTGTGTTTATGGGGAGTGTTGGTGGATATTTAAACTTTAAAAGCAGCGTTTTTGTGGAATCCTTGAAATTGAGGTTTCTACTGTCTGATAGGTAGAAATGTTAAATGGTCCTTGGCCCGACGGGTCGGCCCGTTTAGCCCGAAAAAAAACAGGGTTAGGGTTTTTTATTGTCAGTCCGTTTAAATCAGGGCTTTTTAGGCTCAACCGTTTAGTCCGAAGTTCGTTAGGGCTAGCCCGAAAACCGCTAGGGCTAGCCCGTTTAACTTGGGCTGGGTGGTGTATATGTTTTTAGAAAAGTAAGTAATATGTCTCATTCTTGTATATTACAAGTTTGCTATTCTACTTCACATGTAATTATGAAATTATGAGTTATAATGTATTATTATTATTATTTTGATAGATAATTATTAACAAATTTTATTCTATTTCACAGCAAAATATTTAAGCCAATCAGAACAGCTAATAAAAAACAAATGAGACAAAAATCTAATATATAAAATATAGTGATAGAATATAAATTCACCAATATAATATATTGTGAAAATTTCTGAAGCGTACCAAATAACTAGTCAAATGATAGTTGTAAGTAATAGTGTGAACATTTTTTTTTCTCTATTGAGAAACAATATTTTATTTAAGAGTTTGTAATGTGTGTTCATATATGAAGTGTAGTTGTATATATATAGTGGTAAATAGTAAATAACCGTTGAAAAAAATTGTTAACTAGGTGTTATTATTATTATTATTATTATTATTATTGTTATAGCTCGTTTAGCCTGAAGTCCGCTAGGTTTAGGATTAGGTCCTTTTTTTAGTAGCCCGTTTAAATTTGGGCTTTTTAGGCTCGGACCGTTAAGCCCGAACCACGCTAGGGCTAGCCCGTTTAACATCTCTACCGATAGGGGTGAGCAGCGGTTACTGCTAAAACTTAACCGATAAAAAAAATAAAACTTGAAAAGAAACCAAATTGAAACTTAGTCGAAGTAAAAGATTGAAACTTTTGGAAAAATTCATCTTGTATAAGTATTTGTTTTACAAAATGCTCCCAAACAAGCATTTTATTATTGGTAAGACATTATTTTAAGACAAAGTATGCATGTATATAGAATCAGCTGAGTCTTATGGGCGACAACTATATTTATTAAGGTTAACTTTTTCAGTATAATTTTTTTTAATAACAACTACATTTTATTTAGTTTAATTTTCAGTATCATATTTTCAATTAGTACAACATTTTTTCAGTATAATATTTTTAATTAACGTGTGTGACATATAGAATAAATAAATCTAAATTAATATATAAAATTAGATGGGCATTGAATTTCTGTTGAAACAAAAGATGATACAAGTGTTCAACTGACATTTAGGTATAGACCAACACCCAGTCTTTGCCACCCAAAATTGTCCTCTTGCTATTTAATTCGTTCTGTAAATGGATATATTCAAACCCGTTCGCCCATTTAGACACACATACGCACTGTGTGAAATCAGTGGCTAAAAATCCATGCTCTTATAATTGAACAAAAGTTCATTTCTCCCGTAAACAAAATATTTTTTTTGTAGTTCATCATCACTTATTTTCTTGATTGATGCTTATAATTTGAACAATTTAAACGTGTGTATAAAGCATTAAAACAATATGCATAAATTATATATTTTCATTTTTCTATTTTTTTTATTATTTTGAAATCAATAAAGAAATATTTATTTATAATAAATAGTATTTTATATTTATATTTACATTTTAAAATCGAGTTGACATCCCCTTCATATATATGACATCCAAAATAGTCCGACTTGACCATGTCTTGCTCGGGCTCATCGGTGTTGAATGAATATTAAACTAGCTTGAGGTTTGACTAAATTTAGAATATTCTGACGTATATAACTAATATTTGATACTATTTAAACATATTTTATTCCGAAATTCTAAAGCAGTATTATGGAAATCCAAGATTAAAATTCACTTTCTATTACAATATCTCGTAATTACATAATTTTTTCTATGATTTGGTGTCTGACTTGGTTCGTGGTTCAAAATATTGGAAGCAATATTATTTGACCGGAAAGTTTGGTAGGCCATATCAAGGAACATAAACTGCTACTTACAAGATAAACAATCCAACCTATAATTTAAATTGCAATTAATCCAATATATCTACATATATACCACATATTTATTATCCCATTTTTGGACAACACACATTTACTTAAATCACAGAACAATGTTTTGATTGGTACCAACCAGTCAAAACACCCCCTCTTTTCCAATGATAAACCCTTTTTCGTTTCCCCTATTGTAAATCACCACATTTTATTTCTCTCTTTTCCAATTTTCATTTTGTATTCATCAGCTTTGTCTAACCAGACAATTTGTTGATTACT